AAAAAAAAAAGCCGCGATTGCGATCTGCGGCGGCAATTCGGCGGAAGCTCCTTCGCTCCGAGCGGGAGTGAGGAACCGTCCGCCGAATTGCCGCCGAATAGCTGGACGTGCCGCCCCTCTCCGGAGCGGCCGCCCCAAGCACCTGTTTGCCAGGCTGGTGCCTGGAGCCAGCCCTGAAAGCAGCAGGTCTAGATGGGATCCCTGCTGAAATCTTTAAAGACGGTGGCCCAGAGCTAATTCAACCGCTTTACCTGCTTATCCTTAAAATCTGGATAGGAGGAGATATCCAGTGAAATGAGGAATGCCCTGATTATCCCCTTTCTTCAAAAGGGTCACAAAGTGGACTGTGGAAATCATCATGGTATCTCCCTCCTAGCCATTGCAGGCAAAGTTCTGGCGCAGATCCTTGCAACCCGCCTTCCGCACTTGTCAGAAGAAATTTTACCGGAGTCACAGAGTGGTTTCCAACCATGTTGTGGAACTGCAGATATGATCTTCACAGCATGGCAGCTGCAAGAAAAGTGTCAGGAGCAAAACCGACCACTGTACAAGGCTTTTATTGATCTAACTAAAGCCTTTGATTCAGTGAATCACCATGCCCTCTGGACTGTATTTTCTAAGATTGGATGTCCTGATAAATACATCAATGTCCTAAAATTGCTTCATAACATGAAAGCGACTGTTCTGAGCAGCACTAGCTCCCAGAGTGAACCTTCCAAAGTGCAAACAGGAGTCAAACAGGGCTGTATCATCGCTCCAACCACATTTGCAGTTTTTATTGCTGTCATTTTTTACCTAATTGCTGGGAAGTTTACAGATGGCGTTAAAATCATTTACAGAATGGATGGAAAACTGGTCAGGCTTAGCAGGCTGAAAGCCAAAAGTAAGATTTCCACAACATCTATTGTGGAACTTCAGTATGCTGATGATAACACAATCTTTGTCCTCTCTAAGAAAGATCTTCAAACTATCTTGAATGTGTTTGCCGATGCTTACATATGTCTTGCTTTCACTCTTAATATCAAGAAGACTAAAGTGCTCTATCAGCCCTCTCCAAATGAGGTATTACATGCCCTATCTATCAAAATCAATGGAGTGGCACTGGAGAATGTCGATCTACCTTGGATGTCATCTTTCATCCAAGGTAGATATTGATGTAGAAATTCAACATCGCCTGAACTGTGCCAATGTAGCTTTTTTTCATTTACGGAACAGGGTTTTTTGAAGATCACAACATTCGAACAGACACCAAGCTTCTTGTTTATCAAGCTGATATTTTCCCAACACTGTTGTCCAAGTTTTGGACCCATACAACCTATAGACATGACTTGAAAGTCCTTGAGAGGCACCATCAACGCTGCCTTCATAAGATTCTGAAGATCAAATGGGAAGACAGGCGCCCCAATATTAGTGTTCTGGAAGAGGCAAAGACCACCAGTATCAAGGCAATTCTGCTGGACTAGTCACATTGTCCAGATGCCAGCCATTGCCTCCCAAAATAGGTCCTGTTCGCTCAGCTGAAAGAAGGGTACTGTAATGTGGGTGGACAGCGGAAGCGTTATAAGGACTTGCGGAAGGACAACCTAAAAAAGTGTAACATTGACACTGACACTTGGGAGACACTTGCCCTGGATCGCTTAAAATGGAGTGAAATCCTACATGATGGTCCCCTGCATTTTGAACTTGCTTGCTGACAAGCTGAAGAGGACAAGAGATGCAGGAGGAAAGAGAGACTGGTCTCCAGTCGTGGTCAACAGCCTCCTGCTGAGCCTGAAAACATCTGCCCTCATTGTAACCGAACTTTTGGTTCAAAGATTGGCCTTATTAGCCACCTGAGGACCCATAACTCCCACGGAAGATGATCATACTTGGTAACGAGTGATCGCCCATCATTATATCTATATCATGTATACACACAGTCTCCTCCCAGAAACGTTTCCTCCCCACCAGGAAAAACCTGGAAGAGCATCATAGACCCTGCAGTGGGACTTGAAGGTCAGCAGATTCAGGTTCTGGCAAACCAAGGTGGATAGCAAACACTTCAGGGACCTCCCATGGGGAAAATAGCTCCAGTGCTTTGGTTGACTTCAGCCATCATAATATGACATCGATAGAAAGATAGGCTGAGCTAGCCAGGACCAGCCATTTAAAGATCTGTAGGTGAAAAATTAACACAATAAATTGCACCCAGAAATAAACTGCAGCTGATGTAGATCACAGGGCATTAGTGTAATGTGCTCCCATAAGAAACACCAATCAGCAAGCAGGCTGCCATATTCCGTGTCATTTGCAGTTTCCAATAGACTAAAGGGTAACCTCATATAAAGCACATTATAGTAACCCAGTCTCAAGCTGAGAAAGGCCTGGATCAGTGTGGCGATATCCACATCCAAAGGAAAAGGTTGCAACCTTCTGACTAACCATATATGATGCAAAAAGATCTTGGCCACTGCAGCTGTTTGGTCATCCTGAAGCAGCTGGAGATCCTTTTTGCCAACTATTTGACAATCAGGCATGTAACTCCAATTGAGGGAGCCAGTATCTTCTTTGCCAATACTATTGACTTCCCCCAACCCACCAGCATAACCTAAGTGTTATCTGTAGTCACACACATCTCACCCTTATCTAAACCCCAGTCTTGCCCAGACACCGGATAAGCTGGTCAACTGCATCGCATGGGTCCCGCTGGGTGTCCTCTTCCTACTGTAGACACCGTGACAGACCCAGACCAGTGGTGTACAGGAGTCTGGTAGAGGGCAAATATACTGGTCACTGGATGAGTAGTTTTCTGTTCCCTGAGTGACCAGAGCAGGGGCTGCACTAGAGTAATCAGGAACCTGCTAGAACCAGTTAAGGCAGGCAGGCTAATTAGGACACCTGGAGCCAATTAAGAAGAAGCTGCTAGAATCAATTAAGGCAGGCTAATCAGGGCACCTGGGTTTTAAAAAGGAGCTCACTTCAGTTTGTGGTGCGAGTGTGAGGAGCTGGGAGCAAGAGGCGCAAGGAGCTGAGAGTGAGAGGGTGTGCTGCTGGAGGACTGAGGAGCACAAGCGTTATCAGACACCAGGAGGAAGGTCCTGTGGTGAGAATAAGGAAGGTGTTTGGAGGAGGCCATGGGGAAGTAGCCCAGGGAGTTGTAGCTGTCATGCAGCTGTTACAGGAGGCACTATAGACAGCTGCAGTCCACAGGGCCCTGGGCTGGAACCCGGAGTAGAGGGCGGGCCCGGGTTCCCCCCAAACCTCCCGATTGACCTGGACTGTGGGTTCTTCCAGAGGGGAAGGCCTCTGGGCTGTTCCCCAACCCACATGGTGAATCTCTGAGGCAAGAAAATCTGCCAATAAGCGCAGGACCCACCAAGATAGAGGAGGAACTTTGTCACAACACCATAATACATATTGTCTCCATCTCCCCCCAGTGGCCTCACATACATGCTGAACAGGAGGGGGGAGGGGAAAGGAGTGGCCATGAAGAATGGAATCCTCCAGCACACTACATTAGAGGAACCTTGGAGCAACTGAGAAATTGCTCAATACTGCCCCTTGTTTTCAACTGAAACTCCTTCCATTCCTGCTAAAACCTACAACTGTGTCAACACCACCTCGTGACCAAAGGTATCAAAGGCAGCTGACAGATGCAACAAAATCGCCATGGTTACTTGTCAGTGATTTCCTGCTGGTGACAGATGAGAAACAAATACTATCTCCATTCCATACATGGGTCAAAACCCCAAATCTCCTGGTGTACTCTCTAACAGTGCATTTTATCCCAAAGGCAGCCATAGGAAATTGATCTCTGGAGCAATGATCAGGGATCAAAGTACTGATGCCATAATAGCCAGATTTAGGGTTGGGAAGCAATTTCTCCCAGGGCATATTGGTAGGGCTATCTGCCTAACCCTGTAAGAAAGAATCACTGTTGGTAGTGATTTAATCCCATTCATACCTGAAATATTATTGGTGTCCAAGTAATTGTCCATCTTTTCCCTTGGAATCTTAGCAAAGAACTATTCAAGGCAGCAGTTACACAGCCTTCTATTCAAGAGTGATTAACTAAACCCTACCACAACATAGGGAAGTAGTCTACACAACTCACTGGAGGTTTTTCCCAGGTCCCAACAAGTTATGATTCCTTATCATCATGTGTGGTTTGCATCATCACAGCACTTTAGAGCCCCAGTCATGGGCCAAGACCCCATTGTGCTAGGTGCCACACAAAACACAGAACAAAAAGAGTCCCTGCCCCAAAGAACTTACATTACCCCACAGGAAAACTCTCCCACACCCTGTAAAACATAAGGTCAATGGCAGAAACTCACCACAAGTTCAGAGAACCTAGCATTGAGCTCCTCTGCTGGTGGGATTGGGACAGAGAACTCCAGGAACTGGAGGGGGTTATTATCCTTGAGGTTGATTTCAGGGAGGTCGCTTCCCCCGAAGCAGCAAAGAAACCCCAAAGCATGACGATTCCTTTTCCGGGGAGCCATGGTCATGGTGTGAGATGCTATCTACTGATCATGATCTGCAGAGAAGACAGGAAGAGAAGCCATTAAATGACAATCTGCACCATCCAGCACAGGTTATTTGTGGTTATCATCGCCATCAGTGTAACAGGCAGAGAACAGACTGATCTGTCATGCTAAGGAGCAAAAAAAAAAAAAAGAGCCATCTAGATGGACTGATTAGTCAAGGCTTAATACATCACCACCTCTCCCATGGCTATATAGCATCTTGCATCCCAAAGGTTCCCAAAAGGTTTGACAGAGCTAGGCTGGGACTTTCAAAGCAGTCAGGATTCACTTAAGTCTGCTCCAATCAAAATTGGTGGGAGTTTTAACACTGACTTGAATTGGAGAGGAGTTAGGCCAACGATAAGCCCTTTGGAAAATTCCACTCAAACTGACACGCACAGCTGCTCAATTCACCCACAGCTGACACAAAACCCCTCTGGGACAGAATGCAACAGTTTTTACCCCACACAGCAGACACCAATGATGGAGGACATGGAAAGAGCAGAACACAATATTGCACAACAGTTTAGGACAGGAAATGCCAAAGAATACTGAAGCAGTAGAAACGGCAGGGGACAATGCAGGCTAGCTAACCAGGAGCACAGGGTGCAGCAAAGGACTTGGGGGTTGGGGGAGTCTCTTAGTTTTGGTGGCTAAAAAATCCCTCTGGAAACCTTGAGAGTCCTGGAGGGGGCTGGGGTAAAAAATCATCAGGCAGAATCACTGCTTAAAGACTGCTGCACGCTCCCCCACAGCGACAGAGGTGGTTCTGCATAGGACTACTGTTCGAGAACTGCTACTTTAGCAGGGCAATAATGGGAGCCACTTCAAACAAAATTGTAACTAGAATACTCAAAATGTTTCATTCCAAGTGAGGTTGTTTTAAACAACTGCCCTCCCCCCAAAAAAATTTGAAAATGTTCATGTTTTCAGAATTTTCCAGTTGTTTTTGGCAAAAACCCCATTACTGGAATTTTTTTTACAAAAATTGGTTTGTCAGAGTGGGTCCTTCTTGGTCAGGACTAAGGCATATTAGTTGTGAGGGAAGCTTGCAGTGCTGCTGCTCATGCTAAATCTGCTCTGGGGATAGACAGGGGACTCCAGTCTCCGACAGTTCTGGGGCCCTCAATTCAGCAAGTTCCATCAGAATTACACTCAGGCCTTGGCTACACTCACGGATTCACAGCGCTGCCGCGGCAGCGCTGTGAAGCACGAGTGTAGTTGCGCTGCCAGCGTACTCCACCTCTCCGAGGGGAATAGCTTGCAGCGCTGCAAGGGAGCGTGCAGCACTGCAGGCGCTAATTACACTGGCGCTTTACAGCGCTGCACTCGCTGCGCTCAGGGGGGGTGTTTTTTCACACCCCTGAGCGCAGCAAGTGCAGCGCTGTGAATTGCCAGTGTAGCCAAGGCCTCAATGATGAAGAAACAAGGAATAGTAACTGACATTAACAGTCATAGGAAATTTCTATCTGTATTTATTTCCCCTTCTACATACTTGTGGTTTAACTCGGCATAATATCATACTGTCTTCTACCTGGCACACTGACCTCTAACCCCTTCCTCATTTCACTGTGTAGGGTGCACAGAATAAAGCACAGTTCACAATGGCAAAGAGGAGTGGGAGGAGTCAAACTAATTAGACAGCTATTTGGTAACCTCCCCTCTCCACCCCATATTCCTTCCAGAAGACAGACGGGTGGGGTCAGCAGCCTGTGGTATTGCCCTGGAGAAATCAAAAGCAAAGATTTATGAGCCCTACATATCTGATTCACTGCAAGAATTTGCTCCTAGATACTATGTAGACACCTCAGGAAACTTGGAGTCATGCTGCCTTGTAATGAAAACATCTGATTCCCCAGAACTATTCTACAGTAAAACTAGTAGCCCCCAGCTCCCCTCATCTAATGGAATTAATCTCTTACCGCTGCTGGCTTGCTGGAGAATGGTTGTGTTTTGTCTTGTTCCTAAACATGTCTGTTTATTGGACTAATCCCTGTGTTATAACAGCCAACGCTTTTCATCCATTCACTTGTGCACATTCTAACCTGAAACAGGTGTTTTGGCTGCTCACAACAGATACTGAGATTTGGAGCATCCCGACTCCACTGTGGGTTACAGTGAGAGATTGGCCCTGATTGCACACAAGGGCCCAGAACACAAACTTATTGAAGTAAAGAAGGCTACAGCCTCAGACACACAAGTTGTAGGTACCAGCTGATACGAATGCCAGAACTTGGGAAGCACTAGTGTAACCAATTTGCTGCCGAGTGCTTTTACACAGGCCAATATATACACCAGGTGCTGACCCACGTATCAGGCACATGGGTTTGAAATGCTTAAAAACAGACCACAATACAATAGCCTGGACTTTCATTTACACAAAGACCACTTTACACCACTCTAGCAATGTAAAGGGGCCTTAATGTGAGTATAAATGTTATTTATGGCCACTTTAAGGCCCCTTTCCACTGACAGAACGGTTTAAAGGGCCCTAGTATAGTTGAGGATCTGACCTGAATCTTGGACTGATTCTTATCCTGGAGAAGAACGCTCACTCCCACTGTAAAAGATAAGGACTAAAAAAGAGTGGGGCGGTGGTCTGGTGATCCCCCTGAGTTCTCTGATAGAGACAACTGTTTAGCAGAATCAGACAGGTCTTCATAGCTTAGGAGCCTGTCTACCTTATAGTGGAGATAGTTTCCAGGACAGTGAATTTGTTATGAAAGGATACGGATAATCTGGGTAAAAAAGAGTAAGATGGGCACCAGGATACACTGCTCAGAAAAGTGATGTATTAACAGGAGCAATTCAAGTCATCTTCCCCTCACACAGAAAAACGTCCCTGATGTCTGAAAGAGCCATATATATTCAGAGAAGAAACACAAACCTCGCCCATCAGGAAATGTTTAGTAGCCCACACATTGATCAGGAAGATCCTCAGAATAATGAGTAGGGCCCTACCAAATTCATGTCCAGGAAAAACATGTCACGGACCATGAAATCTGGTCTTCTGTGTGCTTTTAGCCTATACTATACAGATTTAATGGGGAATACCAGGGTTTCTCAAATTGGGGGTCCTGACCCAAAAGGGAGTTGCAAGGGGTTCGCAAGGATATTTGGGGGGGGGGTCCACTGTACTGCCACCCTTACTTCTGCACTGCCTTCAGAGCTGGGCAACCAGAGAGCAGCGGCTGTTGGCCGGGCGCCCAGTTCTGAAGGCAGTGCCCCGCCAGCAGCAGCACAGAAGTAAGGGTGGCAATACCATAGCATGCCACCCTTACTTCTGCACTGCCTTCAGAGCTGGATGGCAGCAGAACGGCAGCTGCTGACTGAGGGCCCAGCTCTGCAGGCAGCAGCACAGAAGTAAGTGTGGCAATACCATACGATGCCATCCTCACTTCTGCGCCGCTTCTGGCAGCAGCTCTGCCTTCAGAGCTGGGATCCCAGCCAGCAGTTGCTGCTTTCCAGCCGCCCAGCTCTGAAGGCAGCACCGCCGCCAGCCAGGGCCAATGAGAGTGGGGGGAAGCCGGTACAAATTACCTGGGTCCGGCAGTCTGGAAGGAGGCCCGGGGCCCGGCTTCCCACCCCTCGTCGCCTTACCAGGGCCCTGCGGTCCGGAAGGGGGCCCGGCTTTCCCGGCTTTCCCGGCTTCCCCCCCCCCCACCCCGTCAGCCCTGTTTAGCCGGTCCACCCTTGCTGGGGAGGCCCGAAAAAAAATTTTCACCGGGGCCCGAACCTGCTCTCGGCGGCCCTGCCACCCTCAGCAGTGCAGAAGTAAGGGTAGCAGTACCACAACCCCCTGCACAATAACCTTGTAAACCCCCCTCCCCCCCAACTCCTTTTTGGGTCAAGACTCCTACAATTACAACACCATGAAATTAGCTGAAATCATGAAATTTATTATTATTTTTAAAATCCTAGGAACATGAAATTGACCAAAATGGACCGTGAATTTGGTAGGGCTCTAATAATGAGGCCATTAATCTGTTTCTGCTTACTGCACCTGGTTCAGAGTCTATGGTCTTGAGGTCTTCAGATTCTTATGGTGGGGTGATTTTAGATTGCTAATTCCTGGGTGGGATGAGAAAGTAACTTGTGAGAATCATGAAGCAGCAAACTGAACTGTGCTAAACTTTGCTACAAAATCCAGACCCACACTCATTGCACTACACCGGATTTTGGGTTTTGATAAAAATAAACTCAAAACTCAGCCTGTTTGTCAAAAGTTCTCCTCAGATTCAGAAAAACCTTCCAAGCATACCAGGGACTGATTTAAAATATTAACTCAAAATGAAGTGCTTCATTTTAGTTTTGGGCTGGTTTTTTTTTTTTTCTTCCTTCCCCATTGGATATTTGGGCTTCTTTCAAACCTGAAATGCAAAATGAAACTCTGAGGGTGCAACTCCATGTGAATCAAATGAAAAGGTTTGATAGAAACCAAAAAGAATCAAGTTCCATACAACTCCACAAGCAAAAACATCCGGTTAAATTCCATGTCAATGTCCTTCCAGAGTCAGACAGAGAGCTGAAAAGAGAATGCTAAGTTGAGCAAATATAGCATTTTTTTTTCCACTTTGCAAGTTCTCATGTTCTCACAAGACTTTGTTGTTTCAATCAAAGAACAACATTTCTCCATCTCTAACCTAGCACACGCTGTTTTTGCAACTAAAATGAAGAAGATGGAAAAATGGTGCCAATCTTCACTATGCCCTGAATGAGAAATACTGATGGGGGAAAACTTCAAAAAGGTTTGGAAATTTGTTTGAGTCAGTATAATTGGGCTGGAAATCATATGACAATAGGCTCATGATAGAACAGTTTGCTTCCAGTCAGGCCAGGAATTTAATCAGAAAATGTCTCAACTGGGGTATCACCTGTTCCACTTCTGGGGGAAAATATGTACCAAGGTGCAGCAGAAATGAAGATTACGGAGGAGAAGGAAACTCATCACACAAGTCCCCTCTCCCCCCCTTCCCAGCAATGAGACTCATCAATAAAACTCAGCAGCCAG